GAGAATAGTAATATTGGCTACTGACGTAATCAAGGAAGAGTATACAAATTGAATAGACAAAGTGAAACGTGACCTATCATCCGCACCCAAGAAAATGCTGTTCATGAGCTTGGAATTCAAATGTGACTTAGCTTCCGATATCATGAAAAGAAGGATATCACAGTCCCTAAAAAGAACATTCTCTGCTGCATCTTTGAAAAGAGTCCTTAACAGTCGATCAATAATGTTCAATAACCAGAAGAACAAGATCTCGCATTTGACCAATTCTCGGTGCGTTTATCAATTCACCTGCTCGCGTGAAGCTGGGTAAATCGAGCGTTCGACTCGAGTTTTGTCCAGGAGGGTTCAAGAGCACTTTCCTGCATGGTCACGAAGAGGTGTAAGTCGAGCAATAAGAAGTGCGATCATTGAACATCTGGTCGATAATGGTCACCCTATCTCCATAGCCTCCGCCTTTAAAGTCGGTGGCACAGTGGTTAGGACTCTCGCCGACCATGCACATGGTTCGGGGTTCGAGCCCACACCGACGCACACCTGATATCTATGGTAGGCCTGCAAAATTTGGGCTACCGATATCCATGCTGAAAATTCCATACTTGTACCAAATGTACGGTGTGGAATCAAGCTGTAAATCAAAATCAAAGTCATCTCCAAGGCAAAATCACTATGTACCGGACTCATCTGTTGAGCTGCTGAAGTTTCGACTATCGAAACAAAAAGGCAGGTCTCTCTGTACAGAAGAAGTTCGGTCAACCGCTTCAACTTGCATGGTCTTAATCCCTCTATGCTAAAGTATGGTAATCCCTTGTCACATTTTGGCTCTACCAATTTTTCATTTTGTCTATTCAATTTGTATACTCTTCCTTATTATTACTATTCTCACTTTGAAATGTCCCCGGTATTATTTCACTTGTTCCACTTGTCATTCTAAATCAATTCCTCTTTTTTATAACGTTAAATTCTATGTTATCAAATTTCACACAATATTACGTAACTTCTTTATTTTATTCGATTAGCCTACTTATCTTACAATTACATACCTTTTTCAGTTACCATATATTTCATATATTATTCTACGTGTGAGATTAATTGTCTTGCCACTTCACTGTTAACTATGATGATAAACACAAACATTTTAATTTTAAAGACGACTCTGACGGAGCTTCCTGGCCTGAGTTCATCGAATTCTCGAGAATTGAGCTAGTAATTGTCTTCCATTCTCCTTTTGCTAACCATGCCGGATAGTGTTCAGAGATGCGTTTGGAAAGCGTGCGCCAATTTCTCCTGCCAATATAACTAGCTCCACACGAGCAGGTGAATTTATAAACACATATTGAGGTGGCTCAAAGCAGCACTTTATCCTTCACACATCCATTGATCATTTGTCAGCTGTAGAAATTGATCTCTAGTTCAGCCATAAAGAAGGCTTTCCTCAGTGTGGTCTGCATAAGCGATTCTTCATCATCTCAGCTGTCGTTTCACCTTTAAATTCAACACTCATGAATAGCAGTTTCTTCGATACCATCTGGACGCTTTCAGGCTTTTGCCTTAATTTCGTGTTTTTCTCGATAAATCTTGGAGGATATCCATTTTCTATGAGGACTTGTCTTAGTCACCCAGATGGTGCCAAAGAAACTGCTATTCATGAGTGTTGAATTTAAAGGTGAAACGACAGCTGAGATGATGAAGAATCGCTTATGCAGACCACACTGAGGAAAGCCTTCTTTATGGCTGAGCTAGAGATCAATTTCTACAGCTGACAAATGATCAATGGATGTGTGAAGGATAAAGTGCTGCTTTGAGCCACCTCAATGTGTGTTTATAAATTCACCTGCTCGTGTGGAGCTAGTTATATTGGCAGGACAAATTGGCAAACGCTTTCCAAACGCATCTCTGAACACTATCCGGCATGGTTAGCAAAAGGAGAATGGAAGACAATTACTAGCTCAATTCTTGACTATTTTAATTTTAATTGCATTTCATGCTATTACTATTTCATGTATTCACTCACATCTATGATTCATTTGCCTCACCGGATATAACTTCTTACAAAACAACCATATACATCAGTTCACTTGTTTCTGTAGAGAGAATTGGTGTCGTCCATCGATGCGTATCCTGTCTCAAGGGGTTGAAGAATATTTTTCCATATGCATGATGAAAAGATATTAGTACTCCTTTAAGGATTGAATGACAAATTATCAAAGACATTGCCCATTCGTCTTCTCTGAATTGATGAAGCTCTGGACAGACAGAGAAACTGAAGCCCTGAATATATAAGAAAAAAAATTACTCAACTACTTCAACTCTTTTATTCTATGAAAATAACTTTAAGTGGTTGAAGGTGCTCATTAAAAAATTTTAAAAGTCTCATTACTTAATATTCATGTTAATAACTTCGTATTCATCACGTTCTACAGTTACATACATGCATAATAATTATGTAATTATTCTGAATAACAACATGAATGATGTTCTTAATTATAGTGAATCAATAATATTAACAGTTTTTACAGTTCAAAAGATTCTGTAAATGTGACAGTATGCATAAGAATGTGATATTAATTGGTTACGGGATTTCGTCATGAGCTGATACCAGTTAGAGAACCGTTGGAAAACCAACTCGGAGTACTGGACAACCAGCTGTTTCTTCAGCTTAGTATGGGACTCCACTTCAGCAGTACGCAACCACCTCACAGTCAGGGTGCGAATCCAGGACCATCTGGTTACAAGATGAGCCAGTATGTAGACGTTACAGACACTGGGACTCTATCCAATGGCCGCCACTCCATGAATTCTAACTTCTGCTAATTCATGCACAACACAGAGCGACCACTTCGCTATGTCATCTTCGATGAGTTACTGCCTCAAATTCAACCTGCTGTACGCTAAATGTCACGGCTTCCCACCAGAACCTCATCCAGGTAACTGCCCGAATAGGGCTGGCTGCTAGCGAGCATTAGATCGATTTTCAAGTATTGCCTGTTGTAGGGATTTTGTTTGAGTGGTTGGAGGATTTCATCATTAGCTGACATCATCGTGAGAATCCCATCTGGCTAGGGTACAGCGGGTCAAAGATGAGGATGATGGGAAGTGGTTGCTCTATGCCGTGAATTGGCAGAAGTTTGAATTCAAAGAATTGCAATTGGGTCGGATCCCAGTGGCCTAATTGTCTATGAGCTCGCTAGTCTTGTAACCAGAAGGTCCTGGGCTCAAACCTTGTCGGTGGGTGCGTGTTTCTGAAGAGTCCTAAACTAGACTGACGAAATAGCTGTCCAGCAATACTCCCCGGATTGTTTCCAATGCTTCTCTAATAGATGTCAGCTCATGATGAAATTCTCCAACCAGTCAGACAAAAATTCCTTACAAAAACCATTACTTAAAAATATTATAATTCATATATATGAAATGAAATGGTCGAAAAGAGAATATTCTTCTCTGAATTCTTTGTTTTTGTGTCTCACTGGGGATTAATAATCTAATTAGTGTTTAACTCTTAATCCGTAGCTGCATTCCGCCACTCCCCTTCCCGCTTCTGTCTGCTTCCGGATTATTAGAAATCATTCATAATATATTATTTATCTCATTACATCACTCTACTATTCTCCCTTATTCAGTTACTTTTATCAATTGATTATGAAAAAATTCTCCACTTATGTTACTATTCCTACATGGGTGTGAATGTACAGGTAATGAGGGAAATCAATTCGCCGACGTGACTCTTTTGGCTGAACACTATTTGTTCTCGGGTTGCTTTTTTTTCTAATTAATACCTGGATGGGAATTTAACTGAAATACGTATTTACTTCCTACATAACTAACTGTCCACCCACGCAAATTTGTCCACCTGAATAATTCTGATTGGTTAACAGTGGACCAACCCAGACAGTCGAAAACTTCTCATATATATAACGAGACATTCTAGGTAATTATTTATTACACAGCCTTCCTTCAACTCCTAATGACACTGACGCTATTGATTGAAAACTGATAGCTGCTAGTGTAAAGGGTCAAAGATTTTTTTTGCGCAGTTTATCATTGTTATCATTATTATTATTATCATTAACATCGTCATCATTAATCGTATCACATGAGAACTTATTGGTTTCACATATCACACACAACAAATAATAAAATCAATTCTTTATGATTGATACACAAAGTGCGATTGAGAGAAAGAGTTAGATAGACAGACTGACTAACTAACTAACAGGAAGACAAGAAGCATACACATCCCTATATCCGTGTGTCTGTCTATCTATCGATCGCAGTTTATATATATATATGTACCGCATGTGTCTATCTTTCATTGGTCGTATACACATAGACGTACAGACGCGCTAACACACACACACATTCCACCTACACATCGTATATGTCTATCTATCCATCTATCGTGAATAATTGAGCATAGAACAACAGCACAGAAGTATCGACTAATCTCTCCGCAGAAAATAGGAACCAGCAACCTTCAAGACATACAGTCTCTTTATTCACACACATCCGTCTTATCACACATAAAAATAATTTTTGAAGAAGAAAGGCAATTACAAAAGACAGAAACTATACACACAAATACTGTGTGTGTGAGTGTATGTTTCTCATCTAATGAATTCATGTGCATTATCTCTTAAAAACCATACAAAACAAGATTTTACGAACAGACGACGTTAAAAAGAAGCACTACCCGCACACACACACACACACACGCACAAATACGTACGTGAGCACTCTTATCCACTGACAGAGTACAGAAAAAAAAATAAAAAGTCAGAACAGTATATTACACACGACTACTAAATCACAACAATATGACATTGTGGAATGACCTATTCCATTGAGATATATATGTATATGTACTAAAAGTAAAAAAAAAGCAAACAAACAAGAGAAACAGATCTCATTTCGTGTTGAACAGATCAGAGAAATAATATTTAAAAGAAGTATTTATCGGATATTCTCCAGCTAACGATCCTTTATTGCTCTGACTTCTTTAAATAATGGAATCTACAACAGAAATTGTGTCTACAACTGTGGATCATCCAGTTGAGGTGAAATCTGAGGGTATTGTTGAGCCTAATGCTACTGCTACAATCACGACAAGTAGTATTACCATTGAGCGGACAAATCAAAGTATTGATGATGAGAATATTGAAGAGAATGTTACCAGTTTGATTAAACAAACTATTGTCATCAGTCCTGAGCCAGTTGGCTCATTATCATCGTCATCAGCACCTGAAACCCTTCCACCACAAACAGTTAACGAATCAAATCTAATCAATGGTGACAGTATAAAGGATCAACCGTTGCAAGTTATCAAAGAGACAGTTGTCACTGTAGTCAAAGATGAGATACGCAAAGTTGTAACAGAGGAGACTAAACCGACTGAAGCTTTACCAACAAGCTCTCCAATTATAGAAATATTAGAAGAACCTGATGATGCAAGTTTAAAAGTAGACGAAACACCAAAAGAAGAGTCTACGGTAACATCAACTGACGAAGTCATAGAACCTGTACTGACAGAAACTGTTGTCAAACGAGGAAATAACACGGATAAAGCGGAGGCAGAAAGTACTGAGCAACCGTCAGTGCAAGATCTGTCTGATGCTAAATATCCACAAAGACCACCTCCACCAAAGTTATCTGAGCAAGGCAAGAGAACACAAACTCTGTCCACTTCACCGTCAAATGATGTCATCACAAATGGAGTAGGCCAAAATCAACAACACCAACAACAACATCAACCCCAACAACAACAACAACACCATAATCAAGAAGCAACACCTGAATATAAACGTCCATCTTTCAAATCAAATTTAAAACATGCCTTCAGTAATATACGCAAAAGTTTTAAACGTAAAGACCAGACACCGAATCCAAATGATTTTCAACCATCTCAGAAATCCACGCATAGAAATAATTATCATCGTAATAATAATAATAATAATGTGGACAATGATTATCATCATGGTGACGTTCATAAAACATCAGAAGAATTACAAGAATCGTTATCTAATGTTCAATCATTTGATTCAGTAAGTCGGTAATTATTGATTATTGATTTCATGGGGGACTATATATCTTTCAATTGATTGTTTATTGGTTATTGATTGTTATTATTACTCATCCTGGGTCTCGTCTTTCGTAGGAATCTTCAACAGCTAATGCCTTGATTTCAAACTTAAATCCATTATTACTGGATGGTATTAATTAGCGGTGAGATCTAGTAGGTGCTCATTTCGTCACCTCCCCCGGGGATTCGAACCCTGCAGGAATCGTAGGAGGAAGTCTCAGAAATCTAGTTTTCCTGCCTACAAAGACTTATCGGCATGCAATATTTGCGGCCAAGAAAGAAATGATCCACCCGCCACAAGTGATTTGTTCAAGCTCATCAATAGTCTGTTCCTTAGTGCTACTATTGACTGAAATCAATCAGTCAATGGGACTTTTGCGATGTGATCACAAAACTAGGTGATTAGCCAACCTGTTGGACTTCGATTTGATATGTTTTCATGTAGAGAACATTGGCACGTTCTCACGAAGAAACCCTACTTATAGGACTATTCTTGACCTGTTTTCGGGACTTAATGATCAAAATAGATTATCAATAATTTAACGTTATTATTGAGTTTTAATCAGCTGACCAGAAATTGAATAATAAATATCCTTGAACAGTTAGATTTCTTTTTCGCCTCATCCTCTTCTTCCCTTTAAATGATCCTATTTTTTCTGCTGCATTTGCCTACGTAATGCCTTAATATGCGTTGGTGGCATACCGGTAGAATATTCGCCAACCAGGATTCAATCCCCGGCCGACTGATGCACTCCTTTATCTCATGGAAAATTCCCATTGTAACATTTAGAAAATCAAAACAAGTGATTCAGCGAAGAGACTCTTTTCAACGAATTTATCATCAAGCTGTACAGTCGTATATATATGGTTCATCAAAAGTTATATCCGGTGAGGGAATTGAATCTTAGGTGTGAATGCACAAAATAATAATAATAATCATATGAAGTTCAATTAAAACTAAAATGTTTGTGATTATAATCGTAGTTAAATGTCAAGTGGCAAAGCAAATTAATGTCATATATAGAATAATTCATAGGAGGGATAGAGCTTGAAAAAGGATGTGCAATTATAGGATTAATAGGCAAATCGAATAAAACAAAAACGTTACGTAATATTGTGTGAAATTTAATAGCATAGAATTTATCGTTGTAAAAAAAAAAAAGAATTGATTTAGAATGACAAGTGGAACAAGTGAAATAATACCGGGGACAGTTCAAAGTGAGAATATTAATAATAACAATTGACTTAATAAGGAAAAGTATACAAATTGAATAGACAAAATGAAAAATGAAAAATTGATAGAGCTAAAATATGATTGGGGATTACCATATTTTAGCATAGAGGGATTAAGACCATGAAAGTTGGAGGGGTTGAACGAACTTTTTTTGTACACAGAGTTCTGGCTTTTCTGTTTCGATAGCCAAAGCTTCAGCAATACAGATGAGTCGGGTACGTAGGGATTTAGGTAGATTGCTCTTTGCCTTGTAGATGATTTTAAAGGCGGAGGCTATAGAGATAGGGTGATCATTTTCGACCAGATGTTCTATGATCGCGCTTCTTATTGCTCCACTTCCACCTTTTCGTAGCCATGCAGGATAATGTTCTTGCACCCTCTTGGACAAAACTTTAGTCGAACGACCGATATACCTAGCTCCACAAGAGCAGGTGAATTGATAAACGCACATAGAGTTGGTCAACATTGGGATCTTGTCCTTCAGGTTATTGAACAATAATGGTCGGCTAGTAAAAGCTATTCTCAGGGAGGCAGCAGGGAATGTTCTTTTCAGGGACTGCACTCCTTTATCTCGCTCGCTAAGCCAATAATAAGACTGGTAAAAAAGGAAGGTAAAAGGCATGAGACTAGCTACCCCTTCTCGTAGAAACAAAAACCCCCACTGCTACAGAAACTTCAAAATAACTCTACCTTGAAGCCCTATGTTACCCTGGGAACGTAAAGGAATACAAGAAAATGCCTTAACACATGACATTTTTACGTACATCCAGAGGATCGAGGTAGATAAATCCAGGTGAGGATGAAAGTGGCGACCATTCAAACTACATGGGTAATATACAAAACAGTTTGCCCTATCCACCTTATATGACAATGAAACAGGGCTGTTGAAAGTGGATTAAATGAAAAGACCGGCTGTCATCGATTCCATAAGTTTGCATGCTGTTTCACATATTAAATGATATAATATAGTGAGTAATTATCAGGTTAAGCGTAGAGTACTACGTAGGCAAGAAAGGATGGAAACCAGTTGGAGGGATTTGAAAGCTACATTGATTCAGATGGATGGAACTCGTGTTAAGCCTAAAGGGCTGCTGTTCCCTCCGTTGACCAATGTTAGGTGACGTATGGTTTAATTGCGAAGGAGTTAGGAGTGATTAGATCGAAATCGGGAATCAGTCCACGAAGCCTTTGCTTATCAGTTTAAGCCAACTAGGTAGGGAAGTCCTCAGGTTGTTGAGAACCAATGTCTGCGGATTATCAGCGATACGGTTAAAAATCTTTCTCATGTATTTTCAAGTATTGATTTTGTAGGGATTTTGTTTAATTGGTTGGAGGATTTCATCATGAGCTGACATCAGTTATAGAACCATTGGGAAGCCTGGGAGTACTAGATAACTGGTTAGTCCTCATTTAGGACTCGACTTCAGTAGTGCGCACCCACCGACAGAGTTCGAACCCGGGACCTTCTGGTTACAAGGCTAAATCGTAGACGACAGGGCGCGTACTGATGAAGAGTCCTGAACTAGGATGAAACAGTAGTCCAGTACTTCCAGATTTTCTAGTGGTTCTCTAACTGATATCAGTTCATGAAAAAATCCTCCATTCATTCTGATGTGGTTGTGTTCTCTGTGCTTTGCGATGGTTTTGTTTGCGATGCTTTCTACGCCCTACTAGGCAAAATCATCAACTCATACTTCAATTTGAAGATAAAGGAACACCCATGGGAACGCCTATATCAAGTTTAATTGTAGAAGCCATTATGCATGGACTAGAAGTCATAATCCTACCGAAATTCAAACCCAAAATTTGGGACCGTTAGGTAGATGACACATTCGTAATATTAGTAGACAGAAGACAAGTAGTTCAGTGAAGAGTCTCTTTTCGGCGAATTCATTTTCATAGCTGTACAATCACAAATATATATAGTTATTTTGTGTTTGTGTGTTAAATAAGAGTTACGTAATGGCATGAATAGTTTGATGAATGAGTTGTGCTCAAAGGGTGTACATGGAAACAAAATAATATACAGAATTACACAAGGGTTTTAAGTTAGAAAAATAAGCATACAAACAGAAGTAAGGTCAAATCAAACAAACAAAGAAAAGTTAGGTCAAATCAACGGAGTTGTTACCATGCGAGTAGAAGTGGTTGGATAATTTTCTTTTGTATGCATAGTTCTGGTTCCTCCGATTGGATGGCTAGGGCTTCTGCGATGCAAAGAAGACGGAATCCTACTGTCTTTGGAAGGTTGTTCTTCACTTTGTAGGTTACTTTGAAGGAGGCGTTCGTTGAGATGGAATGACCAGTGTTGACGAGATGTTCGATTATTGCACTCCTTATATGGCCATTATTTCCTTTCTGTAGCCACGCTGGATAGTGTTCTTTGACCCTTTTTGACAGGATGCTCGTTGAACGACCGATGTATCTGGCTCCATAGCAACAGGTGAACTGATATATACACATAGAAGTGGTCATGTGCGGAATCTTGTCCTTTGGGTTTCTGCAGATCAGTGGGCGACTGGAGAACAGTATTCTTAGTGTTGTCGCAGGGAAAGTTCTTCCTAAAGAGGCGGAAATTCTCCTCCTGAGGACGTCACTAAGTAGGTCTCCTTTGAAGTCTAGGTTCATATAAAGTATCCTTTTTGGCACGGATGGTGTCTCTTGCTTTAATGTATACACACACACACACACACAAAATAACCATATATATTTGCGATTGTACAGCTATGAAAATGAATTCGCCGAAAAGAGACTCTTCGCTGATTTACTTGTCTTCTGTCTACTAACATTCGTAATAATCAGGAAGAACGAGTTAAGCAAAACTCACTACTTAATAACCAACTTTTTCAACGATACATAATTCAAAAGAGAAGAGGAATCTGAGAACAAAATACTATTTTTAGATGTCTTAGTCAAACGAACGACTATACAGGGGAATTAGAAACTCACGTTTATAGAAAATCAACTCACACAGACCTAATGCGCAATTACAACAGCATCAATCTATAAAACACAAAAGGAGTTGTATACAAAAACTACTGAATAAAGCTAGAACTCATTGCAACACTCTCACCTTAAGGAATATTGAAGAAAGATATCTCACAGACATCTTCAAAAAGAATAAATGGATATCCACGGAATTTCATCAAAAGACATATATCCCCAAGCTAACCAACCAAATCGAAAGCCCAAAGGAGAGAACAAAGAGAATCGGCCTACCATATATAAAAGACACCTCAGAAATCACTGCAAGACTCTTCAAACTTTTAAGAACTGATGTCATACACCAACCAACCAACAAAATCACTTCTCTTAGCTAGCTGTGTATCAACCAAAAGACTCACCAGCGAAAAAAGGTAAAACCAACATCATCTACAAAATCGGTTGCAATGACTGCGGAAAACACTACATTGCCTAAAGTGGATGTCCTCTTCGTCTTTGAATCCACGAGCAAGAACTAACGTTCAAGAGACACAACATCCACTCCCTTATATCAATACACACAGACAACCACCGACATCAGTCGACTGGTACAATGTTCAAACATTAGACAGAGGAAACATCAAGAACTCCAGAGGATTTCTAGTGGCCTGGTATCCCAGTGAATCGCCAATCAATAGACACATCGAAACAGGAAAAATTGTACTAACCAATAAGAAGGAAATCTCACACACACAAAGGGTCAAACTTTAGGTCAACCAAACAATCAATTCCAATACACGGAGCTT